TCCTATCACGTGCTGGATGAGAAGGGCGAGTACAACGCCACCGCCCTCTACCCGCTGGTCATTCACGTCGTCGCCGATGGGGACGGTAGTGGTGGCGGTGATCGAGGTGATGGCATTGAGGATATTTGCCTCAGCACCTCCTCCTCCTCCTCCAAGCAGTCGCACACGCTGATCGCCTCCCTGGAGAAGCTCTACGAGGAGGTCTTCAGCCTGAAACCGCTCAAGCAGAAGCTCTTTGTCGACGGCCTCTCCTACCTCCTGCAGGAGATCTACGGCATCGAGAACAAGGTGGCCAGCAGCAGCAGCAGCGCCAGCAGCAACACGGCCAGCAATGGAGTCAACAAAAGCAGCCCTGACGCAAAGAACTCCCCCACAACCACTGGCCACCATTTTCTGCCAAGCAGCACCAGCGAGGAGGACAGCAGCGAGAACTCCTACGAGTGCGTCATCTGCATGAGCGACCTCCGCGACACGCTCATTCTGCCCTGTCGCCACCTGTGCCTGTGCAAGAGCTGCGCCAACTCGCTGCGCTACCAGGCCAACAACTGTCCCATCTGTCGGGTGCCCTTTCGCGCCCTCCTCCAGATCAAGGCCGTCAAGCGGCAGCAGCAGCAGCAGCCACCGATGATGATGATCAACAGCTCTGGTGCTGCGGTCAACAATGGCGTCAACAACAGCGGTGGCGGTGGTAGCAGCCACAATGTTCACAACAGTGGAGGAAATACCACTACTGCCGCCAGCCTAGGAAGTAACCTGCTGAGCAGCAACCACATCATCAACATCAACAGCCAGCAGCACCTGGTGGTGAGCGAGTCGCTGAACGAGCTGACGGTGGACATTCCCCCTGGTTTCGAAATTGTGCCCCTCGTAGAGGCGTTGAACGGCGTCGTACAGCAGCAGCAGCAGCAGCAGTCAGGCGGAAGTAATCACCAGCTGTCGTACAGTGTGCCGAAGCACCTGAAGCAGCAGCAGCACTCGCCGACGCCCCAGCTTCCTCATGTTCTTCCTCCATCTCGGGACGGAGGAATAGACCTCTCGCCGGAGGAGCACCTCAGCGAGAAGAGCCTCGGCAGTGCTGATTTTGAAGCAGGGGCGGCCAAGTCGAAGAAGTCGAAGAAGAAGTCTGGCTCTAGTAGTCTGGAGTCGATGAGCAACTGCNTGCTGATTTTGAAGCAGGGGCGGCCAAGTCGAAGAAGTCGAAGAAGAAGTCTGGCTCTAGTAGTCTGGAGTCGATGAGCAACTGCTGCAACAACAACAACAACAACAACAACCACTCTGCTGCAAAGTTTGACAGTGATATTGACTGTGGTGAAGGAGGTGGAGGTGGTGGCGGTGAGTGTGATGTGCAGCACCCCCTCGAAGACATCGTCTCCTTCCGGAAGAAGAGCGGCGCCGATGAGTACGACATCAAGTACTTCTACTCCAACTCATCTCCTCCAAAGGTGTCCAAGGGTCAGCAGCCTCAAAAGTCGACCAACCGAAGTAATCACCACCACCACCACCACCACCAGCCAAAGATGTACATCCCAGTGGCCACCAGCGCGCCCACCACGACCACCAGCACCAGCACTGACGACAGCACCAGCGCCTCCTCTTCGGTCTCCTCCTCGGGCGGCGCCTCCGGGGTCGAGGGCATGGGCGTGACCGTCCAGGAGAAGACTCGTCTGCTGAGGAAGTCCTCCTCAAAGACTGGTGGTGGTAGCTTGGAGCAGCCAGCAGCAGTGATTGTGGGCAGCGGCAATAGCAGCAGCAATGGTGGGGATCACTCCTATCGCCATTCCCAACCTCATTCCCATTCCCATCATCATCGTCAGTTGGATCAGTCTAGTCAGTCGGATGATTACTGCGTTGAAGAGTCAGCAGCAGCAGTGGTTGTCGGTGATGAGGAAGGTGAAGAGGTGGTGGTGGCGGAGGTAGACCCTGATGATGATGATGATGGAGGCTCCGCCATTCAACAGCAGCATTCCTCAAGGGCGACTTAGGGCCTTGAATTCTAGGTTGAACAAAACGAACATCGGGTGTCCGCGCGCGCCTTCTGCATGAACCTTTTTACCTGATATTTATGACCTACTCCTACTACAAATCTCACTCACTCAACTGCACGTTCACTCAGACAGACATCTGATGTACATACTGGTGTAGCAGTCACTTTTTAGAAGGCCTTCGCAAATCGTACAAAAGCTTTCCCACAACTACTACTAGACTTGCCAAGCCCACTCACTCACCCACACACACCTCAAAGACCGAATCAAACTGAGAATTTCACAGCTGAATTCCACTTCTTTTTTCGCTTGTACCGGTACAGCACACACACAAACAAACAAACACGGATCTGAACACTGAGCACTGAACTTGAATCTCCGTCTCCTCCTCCTCCTCCTGTACACAGCACACACCGCCCAAACTTTATAAATGGATCTCGTCGTCAAGCGTCAGCAGGCCCTCGTTGTGGGTCGCCAGGCTGATGCCAAAGAGCGGCGAATCGCCGTACAGGTGCTCCGTCTCCGGGGGAACTCGAAACGTCTTCAAGGTGGTGAAGGGCTCTAAACCGGGGTGCTTGACTCCCCTCTCGGGAATGACCGTCGTCAGGGTGCACCGCGTGCAGGGCTTGCACTTGTAGAAGCGGATCGCCCCCAGGCGGAACTCCTGCCAGGCGTCCTCGGCCCAGGCGCCGCCGCCCGCCCTCACCAGAATGTTCGGCCGAAAGTTGCGATAGGTGATCTGGGCGTCTGCTGCGAGGCGGCCGTTCAGCGCCTCCACCGAGTACTCGTTGAGCAGCAGCGCCGGCGTCTGGTCCTGGTACAGAATTGGCACCGAGGGGTCCTGCTTCACCTGGCCGTCGCGGAGGACGTTGCCAGCCCGGAGGAGGTGATCAGGGGTGAACTTGACAAGACGACAAGGCGAGCCGAGGTAGCGGCTGAACCAGGCGTTTACAGTAGACCCACAGTCAATGCCTGCAGAGAAACACAGGTTTTGGTTACTGGTTTCGAATTCTAAAATCTAGCCCCACTTACCACTGGTGTCCTGGCCCCAAACCTGAAAGTGCACCACTTCGTTTTGCTGGTCATCTGAAGGGGTGGCATCACTTGTGATCGTCAGCCGCTCCAGGCCAGGCGCCTCGAGCACCAGTTGATCAGCGGTTGAGTTTGAGCTAAAGGACGTTCTGATTAGGGAGAGCTTCGGCTTGGCCCGTTGGGTGATCATCACATTGCTCGGCTCGCNCACCTGGCCGTCGCGGAGGACGTTGCCAGCCCGGAGGAGGTGATCAGGGGCAAACTTGACAAGACGGCAAGGTGAGCCGAGGTAGCGGCTGAACCAGGCGTTTGCAGTTTGTCCACAGTCAATGCCTGCAGAGAAACACAGGTTTTGGTTACTGGTTTCGATTTCTAAAATCTAGCGCCACTTACCACTGGTGTCCTGGCCCCAAACCTGGAAGTGCACCACTTCGTTTTGCTGGTCATCTGAAGGGGTGGCATCACTTGTGATCGTCAGCCGCTCCAGGCCAGGCGCCTCGAGCACCAGCTGATCAGCGGTTGAGTTTGAGCTAAAGGACGTTCTGATTAGGGAGAGCTTCGGCTTGGCCCGTTGGGTGATCATCACATTGCTCGGCTCGCTCAGCAGAATGTACGAGCGGTCGTGGAAGGCGCCGTAGACCATGCCGGTGCGGGTCACCTGCAGGCGGTCCACCTCGATGCCCGCCAGCGACTTGATCGGGTAGATGATCAGCTTGAGAATGCCCTCCTCCTTCTTCTGTCGATGAAGGTAAAGTCTTCTGAAGAGGAAGTAGGAGGAAAATGCGGTGGCCGCTGCGGCCGTTGCGAGCAAGGCCAACGAGCGGCCATTTGCACTGGCCATCAACTGTGACATGATGCTTCTTTTGGTGCTTTATCGTACTGCGTAACGAAGCTGTAGCTGTGGCAGCATTTCGGCAGTAAGCGCATCTTTCCTTCTTTTCATTTCTTTCTGTTTACTTATCAAGGACAACAAGGTGGTGGTGGTAATCAGTTGCTGGTGANATGATGCTTCTTTTGATGCTTCAAAGTTAGCGTACTGCGTAACGAAGTTGAAGCTGTGGCAGCACTTCGGCAGTAAGCGCATCTTTTCTTCTTTTCATTTCTTGCTGTTTACTTATCAAGGACAACAAGGTGATGGTGGTAATCAGTTGCTGGTGATTAGCTTCCTCGAGTTGTAGATTTCCTAATCACCAAATAGTTTCGAAGTTGCGCAAAAGGAAAACAACAACATCGGCGGCGGCGGCGCCGTCNACATGATGCTTCTTTTGGTGCTTTATCGTACTGCGTAACGAAGCTGTAGCTGTGGCAGCATTTCGGCAGTAAGCGCATCTTTCCTTCTTTTCATTTCTTTCTGTTTACTTATCAAGGACAACAAGGTGGTGGTGGTAATCAGTTGCTGGTGATTAGCTTCCACCAGTTGTAGATTTCCTAATCGCCAAAAAGTTTCGAAGTTGCGCAAAAGGAAAACAACAACATCGGGGGCGGCGGCGGCGGCGGCGGCGCCGTTGGAATCGTCGTCTGCGACCGGCCCTCGCGTGGCAAACGCACACGCTTTTCGTAGCCTCACCTGCACGTGTTTGTGTTTTCATCTTCAAAAACTCCGAGGCAAAGAGAGGCCCGAGAGTTCCTTTTACCTTTACTTCTTTCACCGGTTTTTGAAACGATTTTACGCATCTTCTGAGCATCATCACCGCCGACAACAACACATCATCATCATGGCCACCGCCGGCAAGACCAGCCTGGCCAACCAGCTGGAGCGCCTGAAGCTGCCGCAGACGTCGGCGCACCGGGAGACGCACGGCGCGGCCAGCTTCCTCTACGACTTCTTCGAGGCGAAGACGATCGACGCGGAGACGCACTACTCGGTGGCGGTGGCCGGCCTGGAGTCGCTCGCCGCCACCGTCAACGACCCCGCCGTGGCCGCCTTCCGCGAGACGCTCTTCAGCGAGTCGAGCAAGTCGCTGGACCGCGGGGTGCTGAGCGCCGAGCGGAACGCCGCCATTGACGCCCTCCTCGAGGAGTACCTCTACCGGGTGGTGTCGCGGTACTTTGCCCACGCCGACACCCACCGGACGATCGAGTGGCTGCTGTACCGGTACCGCGCCAATGAGTACAACACCGAGGCGCTGATCGGCAGCGTCCTGCCCTACCACGAGACGCGCCACTTTGTCCGCCTCCTGCAGACGGTCTCTGCGGTGAAGAACCCCCGCAACAGCCTCTGGAGCTGGCTGAAGCCGATCCAGGAGAGCGGTGTCCCCCTCACCAAGGCCGTCCTCCTCAACTACTGCACCCGCCCCACCGGCCTCGAGTTCATTCGCTTCATCACCGACTCGGTCTTCAAGGGCACCGCCGTGGACGGCGCCGGCGTCACCTTTCCCTCCTTTCTCACCTCCTTCTGCGTGAACCTGCTCGAGAGAACTTCGACCGCTTTGAAAGCCAACAACAGCAGCAGCAGCAAGCCTGAGCAGACCGTCCTCCTCATGGTCATCTCCGTGGTCTCGAAGGCGATGCGCTCCAGCAAGGCCACTCCGCAGCTCTTTACCGCCGCCTACCTAATCTTCGCCCACCTGTGCACTACCACTCGCCTGCAAGCGGATGTAGTGGAGAGCTTTCTCCGATCGCTGCTAAAGCGCCTAAAGAGCTCAGCTTCAACGAGCGGCGAACAACAGAGCAACAACAACAACTACGAGGGCGTCCTTATGGCGCTCACCATTGTGGTGCACAGTCAGGCGCTGACGAAGCTGCCCGCCAAGTACCTGAACGACGAGCTGGTGGCCAATCTGGCGGCGGTTATAGCCGCAAACAACAACAGCGCAAATTCTGCCAGCAACAGTACCCAACAACCAACCAGCAAAGTCAGCTTTGAGCCTCTGGTTCGCTGCCTGCTCTGTATGCTGATCGACAATGCCGCGGCAAAGCTGCAATCTGAAACTGATTCAGCCAGCGTTGAGGAGCCTCCCTCTTCAACTGCCTCTTCATCCTCCCCGTATACCCTGGAACGCTACAAGGCCTACTGTGACCAGCTGCTAACGGCGGAAAATGGCCGACAAGGACATCTCACTCGGGGCACCGTCTTTGCTCTGGTGGGAGCAGTCAACTGCGCCATTAAAGAGCAGAAACAGAAGCAACAGCAAGAAACATCGGATACGGGAGCCGCCACAGTAGACGAACTATTCACCCACCTCCTGCAGACGCTCAAGACTGCCTGTCCGGTCTGGTTCGAGAAGGCGATCGACTCGCTGGACAAGGACACCTCGGCCCTTCTGCTTCGGTATCCTCACCTGAACATTCAAAAGCCCAAAGTCGAGGCTCCGACTGCCGAGAAGCAGCTGGTCAACGGCGATATAAAAACTGAAGACGATGGCAATTCAGCGGCGGCAGGCATCATCATCGAAAGTCTGGAGCCGGCCGTCGAGGCGCTGGACCGCCTGTGCGAAGAGCTTCGCGGCCTAAAGCCGCACGAGATTACCTCCGAGCAGGCGGTGAAGGTCCTCCAGGCGCTGGCCACTGTCAGAGGAGAGCAGGAGGAGGCGGAGGACTCTAGGAAAAGGGAAAAGAAGGCGGCAAAGCTGCTTCGCCGATCGGGCACAACTGCCTGGGCCGCCCTCCTCGGCCGCCAGCTGACCGAGCTGCTGATTGACCAGGCGTGGACGGGCAAGCTCTCTCGGGCAGTTCGCATCGCCCTGCTCGGCCTGCTGGCGGCAGTGGGCGACGTGGGCAGCAAGGCCGCCGTCTTCAAGTACTACTATGGGCGGCTATTTGAACGCAGCGGCCCTTCTTCCCAAAAAGTGACCGTCAAGGCGATGATCACCGCCGAGGACGAGAAGGAGATACTGGCGCTGCTCGCCAGTCTGAACATTGACCAGGAGGAGCTGTTTGCCGTTGAAGAGCAGGAAGAGGAAGAGGAGGAAGAGGAGGAGGAGGAGGAGGATGAGGCGGAAATTGGAGACCGCCGCAACTACGTCACCGCCCTCTACCTGGCGGCGATTGAGCTGCCGGTGACGGCGGCCAAGCTGCAGGGAAGTCGACGCCCCCTCTCCCGCGACTTCCTCTTTGGCCTGTACCACTTTCTGACGAAGGCGACCTTTGACCGGCTGCGCGCCCTCAACCCGCCCTTTGCCCTGCAGCTCATTGTGGGCATGCTGCAGGTGCAGCTGACCCTCTCGGAGACGGCCACCTCCTCGACGGACATTTCGGGGGTGATTGTGGCGCTGAAGGCTCGGCTGCGCCGGCTGAACACAGATGGCCACCTGATCACCGCCGTCCTCCAGCACCTGCTGCCCGTGGAGAAGGTCAGGGACGCCTTTGGGTATGCCTCGAAGAAGAGTACCGGAGCTGATAAAAAGGCTAGTGAAGAGAATAGCTTGCCAGAGAAGCGACTTCGAACTTCGAACAGTGAATCACCATCATCTGAGAGCAAGTTCACCGCCGCCTGGAAGCTGCTGCGCATCTACATGAGCACCTTCCAGAGTAAGGTCTCCATTGAGAATGTGGGCGCGCTGATGCGCACCCTCTTCGACTACCTGCGGCTGACCTTTATGGAGCTGGGCGACAACTCGGCGGAGTACACCCGACAGACGCTGCTCTACACCGTGGCCAACTGCGTCGAGGCGGTGCTGGGCGGGGAGAAGACGACGAAGAAGAAGCAGAAGTCCAAGGTTTTGCAAGGTGAGAAACGGGAGTTTTAGTGTGAAAATCGATGATTTTAACCCTCTTTTTCATTATCTAGAACCCATGGAGGTGGATGAGCCTGAAGAAGGAGGAGGAGGAGCTGAAAGCGATGATAGTGTTCTGCCAGCCGAGCTGGCCGCCTTCAACGTGGACATCATCGTGGACTGCATGCGCGAGTCACGCGTTCGCGAGACGCAGCGCCTGGCGCTGCTGCTCATCGGCCAGGTGGCCGCCTACTTTCGCCGCCCCCTGCTCGACTACCTCGTGGAGATCTTCACCTTCATCGGCACCAGTCTGCAGCAGTGCGACGACCAGTACTCGCTGCAGATTCTCTTTCAGACGCTCGAGGCGGTGCTGCCCATTGCCCTCGAGGGAAGAGTGAAGGGCGGGAAGGTGAAGAAGAAGAAGAAGAAGAAGAAGATGGACAGTGAGCCGCCGAAAAAGACCTCTCTCAAAGAAAAGAAAGGCAAGCACGCAAGAATGAATGGAGAAGT